TCCCAATATGCGTTTTTGCAATTTGCATATAGGCAAAAACGCATAAAAACCGGTAATCATGCATCTAGATGTCCGTGCGGCTCTATAATGCATCACCTTCATCTCAACTGGCGCCCTTCCTCCTGCATGCCGGAAGGGGCCAAAGCACGGCCAATGTGAGCCCAAACGTTAGGCTACAGCGTATGAATCATTCTTGCTAATAGCGATCTGCGAGTTTAGTGTAAAAACGCGTGATCGCACCGGACAGTCTGGTGTGTTCCAGATTGGGTTCTTCTCACCATAACTAGCGATGAGAATGAGGTGTAAAAATTTTATGCTGAGCTCAGATAAACATTAATTAAGACCTTTATGGGGAGCATCACTGGCAAGCTTGGACGACGAGGTGCATAGCTCCCTTTTTCTCTATTGCGTTTCTTCAGACATCTGAAGGTAAAACCACTAGTAACCATCTGCAAAACTACTGATCATTATTTCTGTCAAAGTTTTGTAAAGGCAACATTCTCGCCTTGTCTCCCCATCTCATCAATTACAAAGTACAAAAATAAAACAAAAATTGACTCATCTTCCGATGACATTCCTCCCGAATGTTAGGAAACGAGTTAGTCTACATGCGCGTACGGGTTTCCATCCCCAAAATGGCGCTCAAGTGTTTCCCACGTACACGACCGTGGTTTTTGCGGCTAAGTTGCTCAATCGATCAACCTGAAAAGCTAGAAAGCTGGAATTTTAAGGGGATGTTCCCCGTTCGCGTAAAATCTAATGACTTCTAATTCACCATTGCGAAAATTTTTTGCCGGTAAGTTGCTAACTCGGGAACCAGGAAAGCTAGACAGCTGAAATTTTATAGGGATGCTTTCTAACGTTGTGGCGGCCAATCTCATTTTTAGTAAGAATCACTTGCCGAGAAAAATAGTTTTTTTTTAGCCAATTTTCTATCCTTGAACTGTTTTAACCTATTCCTGATCTAATTTGAACCATTTTCGGTCTAATTTTTATCTGTTTTTGATCTGCTTTCGGTCCGCTTTTGATCTTTTTTATTTTACTTCTGATCTGCCCCTGATCAGCTCTTGACCTAGTTTTGATTTACATTTAGTCTATTTTTGATCTACTTTTAATCCACCACTGGACTACTTTTGAACTACCCTTGGCCCATTTTCTGGCCTGTTTTTGATCAACTTTCGACCTAGTTTTTATCAATCATTGAACAATCTTTAGTCTACTCTTGATCTGTTCCTGACCTATTTCTGATTTACTTTTAACCTACCCTGATCTACTTTTGATCCACTTCTAGTCTGCTTTTAAACTATTTTTGACCTGCTTTTGATGTACTTTTGATCTAACGTTGATCTGATTTTGGTCCACTTTTGGTCTACTTTTGATACACCATTAATCTACTTTCGATCAGTTATGGATGAGACCCTTGTCTGAGGCGTCAAATGAACGTGGATGTCAGGATTTACGGTGAACATGACAGAAACTGAATTGCGAAACTCCACAATTGGCTGTATCCTTAAGCACATACGCCACAGTATATTCGATTGGTGCACTGAGTTCAGTGAGCAGCCGTAAGTGTTCCGCTTCAACAAAAAGGTTTCCCGAATTTTTGACTCATCTGGTAGTGCGTTGTCAACGGCGCTTCTCGTTTTCGCGCTATGCTGGCTGCTGCGGCACCGGAACTGCGGAGATGCTAAAATTCTGATGTGAGTATTGGTGTGGGCCGGCGCACTGCATTAAGGTTTTTCGATTACAGATTGTATAACTTGTGGAACTGTGTGAATTGCCGACAACGAGCGAAATAACTGATGCTTAGCAGCGATTCTGCGCGTGATTTTAGGATACCCGTGAGAGACAATTTCAAAAATGATTCAAAATGCCCGAGAAGGGCAACTGCAGCAGGAGTCTGTGAAGAATGCCCAAAAGGAGCAATTTCATTAGCAGTTAATAATAAAGGATATGGTATCTTGTAAGGGTAGGATAGATAATGAAGGATATGTTATCTTGTAGGGGTCAAGATACCATATCCTTTATTATCCTTCGTATGGGAAGAGCAATTCTAGCCGTACACCCTTCCTTGGCATTACTCGTTTCTAAACAGTTAAGGCCCCTGCAACCTGCAACTTTACTGACTTCTTTACAGAATGGAAGTCAACAGTTTTATTATTAGTTATCACTGAATAGTTTTGTAATGAACAGTTATAGTAACAGTTGTTATTAAATAGTTACGTACAACCCAGCAGCCCAATTGAATCACCAGGTAAAAATACCAATCTTCCACGGGTATCTGCCACTTCTCCAAATGAATACATGTCAGTTATTCGGGTGTCACAGGACTCATCACTCGCAGCTTCGCGCTTAATAAAGGCACAGCTGACTGACTAACTGGATGACAGAGATAAGTAAACAGAGATAAGTGAACAATGGATGAAAGAGCTATGAATAACACTGAATGTGTTTCCGGGCAATCTCTTCGAGAAGATCGATCGCATCGGAGCTGTCGTTCAGACACGGTACGTAAGCATATTCCTCACCACCATGCTTCCTAAAAAATTTTGGCGTATAAAACTTCAGCTTTCTAGCTTTACTGGTTCCTGAGTTTACAAACTGCCCGCCAAAAATCCTTACGGGCTGGAAAATTATGCCGAAGCGGACTAAATTAGCATGTAAAAAACGACAACATGCACCTTCTTCTGCGCTAAGACGAAAATGAATCAAGAGAGTGGCGTAGAAAAGAGAAGGGTGCAATTATTTTTTGATTTGGTATTTGAAGATGCACAACAGATACCGCAGATGAGTGAAGTACAAGCCGTAGGTATCTGCAGTGCGTAACGGCGCTCTTTTGGCCGATCTACAAAAATTACGAATAAATGAACAGCTTAATTCTGGAGTCTCAAATGCGCAATGCGAACTAGAACATCGTTAAACTCTACAAGCTGATTTCAGTCCGTGTTAATCGCATCAAGCAGTGCATTCGACTGAACGATAGCACCATAGAATGGTTTGGACCTCTGATATACGCCTGCAACGATAGGTCGCCAGTGACGGATGACTCACGAATTAGTAGGAAGTAGAAAATCGACACAAAATCATCGTAGGCTTTCGGCATGACAAAAAATTTCGTTCGGCAAAGGGGAAAGAATAGTACTGGAGGCTCTAGCAAATCGAAATCATTACGAACTGAAGGACTTTTCAGGCTATAAGTCAGTTTCGTAAAGACATGTCGGTGCGGTCTATAAATCAACTTTCACCAAAGTCACCGCAGTACGGCCAATCGGCGGTTTCAGCACAAAACCCAAGAAAAGAGTAAAAACAGAGATCTCCACAAATCGAGGTAATAGATTTTATTAAAGATATAAAGTTCAGGATCGGAAGGCCCGGAAGAGCAACGCGTAAGATTTGAATGTTTCCTGGCAAAATGACTAATGTCGGGCAACGACAACAGCAACCCGAATTGATCTGAAATCTCAGTAATGGGTTGACGGTAGCAGGTCGCAAAATGCGATTTATTAACTAATTCCAAATCCTTTTTTTCCTGCTTCTGCATTAAGTTTAATGAACTGAAAATCGAGTTCGTAGCTTTCAATGAAAATCGAGTTCGTAGCTTCTCGGGCTCAAGTTGTGATTATATCCAAATTTTTGGCAGAAGGATCGAAACACGGAGCATAAACACAGAGCAAAAGTCTCCTCAAATTTTGCACCATCTACGGCCAGGCTGTGAGTTACAGATGAACAAAGTAATCGATATCTCATGGTGGTCCAAGAGTGGCAACGTTCGAGAACAGGTGGTACAGTTCAATAAAAACCAGTGATATCTGGAGACGATTAAAGCCTTGCTAAGTGCTTCTACTGCGAAGAATTACTGAGCTGATAATCCCTTCGACAGATAAAACAAACGTCATGACCGCAAACAGGTAGATGTGGCATTGGCCAAAGCAACTGCAAAAGCTATCACCTTTACAATTGGAGAACTAGCTGTGAATTGCAGCTAATCAAAGTAGATGTGGCCAAGAAGTGCTTCCAAAACACTGTTTCCTTTGCCTTTATGTTTTTTATGTCAGAAACAATCTTAAAATACAACGCTGCACAACATATAAGATCGTGGAAGATGTGCTGCCTCAAGTACTTTGAAACATTCTGAAGGAATACCTGAAAATGCGTGCGAGTTCGTGCTCCAGTTCCTCTATTGTCTCCAGGCAGTCGCTCATGAAGCCAGGTGCTACTACCATGATACGCTTCACACCTTGTCTAAAATTAATTTATTTTTCGAAAAGAAATGGAGACTTTCCAAACACATTACTTTCAATGTTATGGAGCAATGGCAAGTGACAGTATTCTTGTGCCGAGGCCGAGAGTTCAGCTTGGGCAGTGGGACGAACATTTTCCCTATTTTTGAATTTTACATATGCTACAAGAAAAATGTATCCTCTTCTGTCTTAACTCATAATTATTTTCTTCGATTTTTTGTTGTTATATATTTCCTCCTTTCTTTCAAATCGATACTTTTACAGCGATTTATTTCTAATTTCACTTATGCGGCATTCGAGATCCCTTTTTATGCGTTTTTTGCAGCAATGCAATGCAAAAAACGCATATTGACGAGAGGTTGTCTGTGTGTTTTTATGCGTTTTTTGCAGCAATGCAATGCGAAAAACGCATATTGACGAGAGGTTGTCTGTGTGTGTATGTGTCTGTGTGTGCGTATGCGTTTTTTAGATGCAATGCGAAAAACGCATATTGACGAGAGGTTGTCTGTGTGTGTGTTTGAAGCAAGCTGAATAGGGAGGGGAGTTTGACTTTTTGCCTATATTTTGTCACTAGTACTGGTTTTTACGCTTTTTTTTTGCAGTTATGCAATGCAAAAAACGCATATTGACGAGAGGTTGTCTGTGTGTGTGTGTGTGTGTTTTGCAGCAATGCAATGCGAAAAACGCATATTGACGAGAGGTTGTCTGTGTGTGTGTCTGTGTGTGTGTTTGTGTGTCTGTGTGTGTCTGTGTGTGTGCTGGGCCTCTGTACCGATTTTTCATCTCAAGACCGGCAAAAGCTACGGGACTGAAACTTTAGGGACATAATCTACATGCACGTACAGGCCCCCATCCACAAAATTGACGCCAAAACCCGCGTGGTACCCGCGTACGGGCCCGCCAAAGTTTTTTTGGGGT